CAAAACAAGCTCAGGAACAGCGACTCGGAGAAACTGAAAGATAAATAGAGCGGAGGAGAAGCGGGGAAGCGGGGCACAGGTGCTCTCACTCTGCCCCCTCAACCATGCAGCCCATCTGGGCAGACAGGGAGGCTCTCGGTCCAGGTGGGCTCAGGAAGCTCTGGTCAACGAGACATCATCGTCATGGAGAGCCAGTTACCACCTGGCTTTCTGGACAAGGCCACTATCCATCGTAATGATGGAGGTGATTAATCAATTTAGAGCTTAGCCAGAATGGAAACCACCTGAGGCGGGTATGAAGCTGGTATGAGTAACATATTAATATTTTTCGAGAGGGACGTGGTCCAGTCATGAAGCTAATGTACAGAGCTGAGATGGAAAGAATGTCTCTGCGAGAGCCGTGCTTTAAATTGAGTACTTCAGAAGAAAGATGTTTCTTGTTCATTCAACAACAGTCAGTTTTATAGTCTGCTTCCTAAACTAACATAGAGTGGACTGTCTTTTTCGAACAAGACCACCCTGGGACAGCTGTATTCTCTGGCCCAAGCTTGTGTTTTCATGTTTATTACAGCTTTTTTTTTGGAGATAGTGAGCATGATGAGGTAGTCTCAATGACCTCAAGTTAGCTGGAAAGAAAAAGTATTTATGGCATTGACCCATGACCTGGAAAACCCTATGACCGCATGAGGTCTTCATCATGTAACACTCATCCTTGAAGCTCCGCCCACAACCACATTTTGTGTCCAGAGTGGTGTCTCCTATGGGAGACTGCACTGATCCTGTTTGGAGGTGTGAAAGTGTGGAAATATTGCAGTTCCTCAGGTCATCACATCCGCCTATTGTAGAGCAGCACTGAACATAGCATAAGTGAACAAATATGCTTATTCAAGGGTGCCCATGTCTGGTCTTGGTAACCTGGAGAATGTAGTACCAACACAAATGGAATTAAATTCTTTTTATTCAGCAGCTCCTGAAGGCCTTTAACCAATAATAAGCCTCAGAATGTAAAAAGCCTGGGATTTTAAAAGGTTAAGTGGATTTCATTTTACAGAATAGGCTTGAAACTAAACTGCCACTCTTAAGCACTCCTGCAACATGTCTGCAATGATTTAGTGAATTCATGAGCTTACATAGAATAATATACTTTGGACACATATACATTTACCTGTGGTGAACCCTCAGGGCCCTCCGATGTTTTCAGAGAAATCAAAAAATACATGTCTGTATTTTTTATTATAATTTTATTTAGTATAATCTGTCACAAGCATCAAATAAAATATGGAACATTGTTCACGAGATTCAGATCTCCATGTTTAGTCTAGAACGGACAAAAATTGTTTACGTGTGTCACCATTAGCGTAGTGCTAACATACTACTAGAATCCCATAGGGGTGCTAGCAGAACTTAGCATTGTCATAGAGGTGTTTGTTGTTTATGGCCCAAACTGAAGGCCTAGCAATCATAGTAATACTTTGCCACTGAGATTTACAGTACATTTTCAATACATCCAGGTTACAGTGCTGTCTGGAACTATGTACACTAACATTCAAATGTTTGGAATCACTTGTCGTAATAATCTTTGAAATTTCATTACAATAATGGCTAAAGCCAAAATACAGTATGGACTTTGATATTCTAAACTAGACATCAAACAGAATTTTCATTCAATTACATTTCATTCAATATTTCAGGATGTTATCAGTTGATAAATAATATAATGTGTTTATATATTTGCAGAAGAATTAGTTATGTAATCTGCCTTGAGATTTGATCGCCACTTTTGAAATAAAAGGTACTCTGGATAGTGATTTTTCTTTATACCTTTTTTACTGATGCTATACAGCTTTAATTTTAGAAACATCTACAATCATTTCATACATTTATCTGCAACTACATGGTTTCATTTTGATGAAAACAGATTCCAAACTTTTGAATGGTAGTGTAGCTGTAGAGCAGTTGTCTCAGCAGAAGAGCACTGACCAAATCCTGTCCTGTTGCTGACCTGCTATGCTGTAACGATGAGGACCTCTACTGGTTTGACAGTGCACACACAACTCAAGAGTACTGCCTGCACATAGATAGTCCTAAAACCAGGGTTATAACAGAAAACTAAAGCGGTCAAAGAAAAAACAACCTAAATGAAGATACAAATGTGAATTGAATCACAAATGGAAACACAATTCAGTAAGTAATCAATCGCTGCTTCTTGAGATATAAAATTTGATATTTTCCAAATGTGATGAAGAAACAATCCTCAGTCCCATAGTTAGATGATGTATACTGTGCTGACTTTAAGTCTGGGTACTTTACTATGACAACTAAAACTAAAGCAAAAAATATAAAAGACAAAGTATGTATTTTAAATAAGAGATGGCGTATTAGTAGTGTTGGGTATTGTATTATATCGATATCAGAAGACAAAGCTGGCCCAGATATTGGAGGTAAAATAAAGAAGAAAAAAAAAGCAAATTGAGTAAATAATAATAAACATAATAATAAACATAATAATAATAATAATAATAATAATAATCATCATCATCATCATCATCATAAAAATAATAAACTTATTATTAAACACTGAGACAGTTTAATTGTGCATGACACGTACCTTATATTTGGCATTCTCTTTGAGTCTGGACAGGGTGTGTTATATCTATAGACTTTATCCATCTTTTCATTCAGTATTTATTAAGAAGATAAATTATTCTGACTGAAGTCAGTTCAGCTATGAAGTCATTTTAGGTCACATGCAATTACATGCAATACATAAAAACTCTACTTCAGCACAACTCTTCTTGCAAATTGTGCTTTTTTAGCAATTAATAATTCCCAGTGTTGTTATTTTGACCAACAGATATGAGATCAGAGTTTGATTACACACAATTCCCCCCAGGGTCACCAGCAGGTCTTCTGTTTCCTGCACATGCTCACTGACACACATCCACTCCTTCATGACTGATAGCTAACAGCTGCCACCATTTGGCCGCTGCTCCAGCCTGATACTAATAATACAGGGCTTAAATTCATCCAGAAAACAAAAACAGACACATAAAAACTTTCTAAATATAGAACATACATTCAACCTTTATTCAGAACAAATGCACATATACACATAAATGCATGGCTATGCAAGAGTAATACAGCAAAATGTAACTGATAGAGAAGCACAGTGTAACTTGGTTCATGTCTGCATGTCTTTGCATGGTGCCAGATGCGATGCAAGATGATCCACTAACATACGCAAGTAGGACTTCACGTCTCCTTCAGGTGTCACATTCTTTACTGGGCAGAGACATCAGCACTACAGACCTGGATCAAATGAGGCTTGCCTTTGGCAAACTTGCTCCATGCATGGCCTCCATGTGCTGTATATATCACTCCATCTTTTTGCTGTGAGCTGCATTACAGCGCTTCTTCAGTGGCAAACTGATGGAAATCTGATACATGTATGGTGTTCTGTATCTAACCTGAATCTACATGCATCAGTGAATTTCAGCATTTTTTACAAGCTTGTTCTTAAGCAGTTCCACGTCTTGTGACTCCACATGCATCACATTTCCTGTTTAATATTTCCCAGATGTTTTAGCAAAGAACATCTGCAATGACTTTGAACATGAACAAGTGTTTGACAAATGCTCCACATTTACAACTATCAGCAACACAGAGTAGCTCAGCAAAAGTAAATTTGCTCATTTTAGCACAGGTTATTTTACCAGTGGATTCATCCTTCACACAACAGAGGCAAGGCAGGTTTATTTATATAACACATTTCATACACAATTCAATATGCCTTCCATAAACAAAGACTCAACAGAATTTTTCGTAGTGGACTCAAAGACACTTGAATAAGTGGTAGCTGTGATATGACACTGTAGGGAAATAGGAATTGTGAGCCAATGCCAATGTCCAATATTTTTCATGAACATATCTGCCAATACTGATGTTAATACATAAACATTGTGTATAGCGTTATTGTTTATTTATAAAATATATTATATAAATAACATATATATATATATAGGCAAGGGATTGAACCCCAAGTCCGTGGAAGGCAAAGGTAGTGCCCTCTACACTATACTAACTATTCATATCTCATACATCAACGATAACATTATGCGTTGTGTAAAATATAATGTTTAACATGATTGGCTATGTGTAACTTTATATATCGCTGTTATTGGTTGTTTAATGTAACTGACTTTTTTCCAAGTCATTTTAGGCTGTTTATACACAATGTAAATGGCAATAGGCATGTTTAAATTATGCCAAAAACTGAAAAATGACAAAAATGGAGATACAACGTTTTCTTCCAACAGCAGCGATATGCATACAGAAAATTTAGAAATTGGGACTAAAAATACTTTACAATGCATTACAGAAAATTCTAACATTTACTTCTATAGGGATGCAAATGCAGAAAACAAATATATCATCAAATATAATTTTGAAATATCGGTCAAATCTAAATATCTGTTGCCAAATTTTTACAAGGCATTTATCTGCCAAAACAGATATGATTCCGATATTGTTCATCCCTGCTGATTACACATCGATCCACTCTAATAGATGTTTGTCATTTTGGTATCTGCACTGTAATTCTCTGATAAGAAATTCAGTGCCTGTGCTCTCTTTGCATTTACAAATCTCCTTGGAGGATCTTGGAGGACCTATTAATTCTGAATTCATTGAGTAGATGTAGGTTTAAACTGCTGACTAATTCAAGCCTTATACTGAACAACAGCAAGCCTCGTGCATTAGAGGGAACACATCCAGATAAGCTGTGTGGCCTGGCCGGTCAGTGTGCGTGCCCATACAGCTGTCTGCGCATTTGCACGGAGCTTGAATGAGCTTAGAGCCCTCTCAGAGTTCTGCCCTGTTTACCTTCAGCAATGGCCACTGTCTCTGATGAAACGTGATTCCGCAGCAGTCCCCCCGAGGTCGGGGGAAAGTGTCAGGGAAAGACGATCGGCAGGGAGGTGGGCATGCCGGGCATACTTTCCACCATCATGCAGGGTTTGCTCCTCATTTGAAAGCTATCGCTGCTTAAGAGAGGACACTGTGTCTAGAAATTACCAGAGATATAGAGAATAACAACAGTGTGGAGTACAAAAACAACAGAGAAGAGTAAGCACTAACAGGTTCCTTCCAGCCATGTCTGAGACTAAGCCTGCAAACTCGTTCTCGAGGAAGCCCTCGACCAACAAGAACATCAAGAAGCTGCGGACGCTGAGTGTAGTGTGCAACTTGGCAAAGAGCTGGCAGCAGTGGATATGCGAGAATGAGGAGAAGCAGGCCAGCGAGCCCACAGGCTGGGCCCCAGACAGTTATGGGCCCCCTGAAACCATCAAGAAGGAACAGACCAAGCCTCAACCTTCTCAGAAGAAAGTTCCTCTTAGCCAGACTCAAAAGCCCCAGGGTCAGGTGAAGGAGAAGAAAGTGGAGGAGGAACCTGAGGAATCTCGTATCAAGACCAAGCAGGTGGTCAAGACGGTGACACGAGACGTCCAGGAGAAGAGCGCCGGCATTGGGTTTCTGACCAACCTCATTTGTAAGGACCCAACAACAGAGGAACTGGACAAGATGCTGAACAAAAGGAGCTCACCCACACGGCGCAGGAAGTGCTCTAATATGGTCTCGGAGCTGACACAGAGCTGGAAAGAGATGGAGAAGGAGCAGAAGAAGGCCAGGGAAGCTAATGAGGACAGCCACTCATCTGAAGCAAAGGAGAGAGTGCTGGAATTGGACACTAATTTGGAGAACCTGGAGGACACCAAAGAGAATGAAGAAGAGTCATCATCACTCAAGATCAAGAGACCATCATCACTTGGGTGAGTACGGTCCGGATAGTACTTTAAACACTGAGGGTGCATATGCAGGCCCACAACTAAGTTCTTCACTCTTGACTTGCATATGTACTTCACAGTAGTTACCAAATCATTCGTAGTAGTTACTTTAAATGACTAGTAATTACAATGAAAGGTAGTTGCTACTTGCATTATATTGGTCTCCACCAATATAATCAAATCTCTATATCAAACAAATATTCTAGTTAAGGTTTCTGCCCTCATTTGTAAAAATTAAAACTTTTATATTCTCCAAGTATTTTCAAGGTCTCATCCATATTTATATGTTTGTGGTCATAGAGCAGTTTGAAAGACTTTTATTTTGTAATTTAAAAGTGTATTTATTTAACACAATCTATTTTACTTTCACAGGTCCAAAAAGGAAGTGGAGGATGCCAATAAAATAAACGCCCTCTCCACCAAGTACAGCGCTGTGGGGAATCTAAAGAGCCGCTGGCAGAACTGGGCTTCGGAACACACCATCAACCAGAAGCTGAACCCTTTCAGCGACGATTTCGACTATGAGTACTCCATGTCCACGCGCCTGCGGAAAGGCGAGGAGGGTTACGGACGGCCCAAGGAGGGCAGCAAGACAGCAGAGAGGGCAAAGCGGGCCGAGGCACACATCCAGCGCGAGATCGAACACATGTGCTTCATCATACGGACCATGGCTGACCCGGACCCGGATGGTTACACCCGGATCACCTTCGGTCAACTGTTTGACAGATATGTGCGAATCTCTGACAAAGTAGTGGGCATCCTGATGAGGGCCAGGAAGCATGGCAAAGTTGACTTTGAGGGAGAGATGTTGTGGCAGGGCCGGGACGATGAGGTCATCATCACGCTACTTGTGTGACACAAGGAGGCACTTTTTTATGACATCATGCACTCTAAAAGCGAGGAGAGGAGAGAGGATTGAGTTTGCTGCTATAAATAAGATATAGACAGATACGTACAGTGAGCAGCTATTTTATAGACTTTGACCTTTTTATCAGTACCTATTATATAGATCCAAGTATACACTGTATATACTGTATACACTGTTATAAGGCAAATTATTACACAGCTAACTCAACTCGACACTAGAATTCACCCAGCTTTAACTTCATAGTTAAGTCCAAAGTCCTCCTAATTCTTCTAGTTCTACATCTTAGTTAGGTAAACAATATCTAGCTGGGATTTCATTTATCATACAGTCCCACCAGGCATTTTCTCCTTTTGACAAGTGTGCCACAAGTGTGCCATTGCTGTGGTTTAAAGACATTATTTCTTGATTTTGGGGCCTCTAAGGATGCTTAGGATTGTTGTTTTAACTTTAAATAGTCATTTTAACTTCAAAAAGTAAGTGACTTTAAATTTTCAATTTATTAAATATCAAAATACAAGTTTACCTTACAACATATAACACAGACTGTTCAACTGTTAACTTAATATTTGATTTTCAGTTAACTCAAAAATTGAGGTCAGCCACAAAATTACATAAAAACAACGGAATTTAAATTGCAAAACTTGGATACTGAAGTCATTTCACGTGTTCCTAGGTTTTACTAATAATGTAAGTTGTAGTGTACAAATATCTACTGTATCCCATCAGTTGCTATGCACAAATCACCCTCTATCCTTTCTATCAATGGAAAAACGACCACCACAGAAACATTGCTCACCAGATATTATTTGGGAGATGGACCATTCCCAGCCCAGCAGTGATCCCAACATGGTTTTAATGTGGTACAAGTGTTTCAAGTACAGCAGTGTTGCTGGACTTTACACTGTGTACAATTACATTAGTCATTTTCTAACCCTTCATCAGTGGTCAGTTTCTGACCACAGGACCAATAGTAGTTGGATTCTCTACCAGCACAATACGCACAAGCATGGTACTAACATGCTGGAGTCACTCTTGTGCTGAGAATGGACTCTTCAGTTGATATCTGGTCATCAGAGGTTTCATTGATGGACGGTGAAGAGGGTGAACAGCTCATTATGCAGTGACTGGTGGGTCACTGTCAGTAATTGTGAACCTACAAGGTGTTTCTGATAAATTGGCCAGTGAGCCTACAGCGTAGGCGTACCTGATAAACTGGAAACTCGGTGTAGTTTGTAGTGGTAGAAGAGTAATACTGGTGGTAGGAAAGTTTACTTTTTTTAATAGTTGAAATTTGGATTAAAAGCTTCTCAGAAATGTGTATGAACTGATATTTTATCTTTCATTTGTGTGCTCTTAATGTCTCATAAACTGTACTTACATGTAATTAAATGTCACAATAAGGTTAAATGTAGCGTTTTCTACTAATACATGGTCCTGAGCATATTTCACCTCAGCTGTGAAATTGTAGTTTTAAATTAATAGATTTTTCAGCTGTAACATTGATGAGCAGTGCTTTGTAATATACACGCATATCCAGCAGAGGGCACACTGATGATACATCTGCTCCCAGTCACAGCATAATCTTTTTGTGATGACTGTTGACTGTTTTGTATCGCACCTACTAATATCCATTCACAATTTTAAAGAGGAACATTTTCAATCACTGAAAACAGCTGCTTGCTATTTCTCTTCTGAAATACCCAGGGGAAATCCTCACAAACATGCTGAGTCTGAGTGTAGGGCCCATGTGAAATAAGCAAGGCACAGCTGAATGTGAATGAATGGGGAGAGAGAATGATGACTTGAGATCTGAGACCAAAGATCAGAGGTGCTGATATGCAGAGCTGAAGCAAGCTTCTCGAAATTAAAGCCAGGTAAGTCTGATGCCAGATTTTTGTATACATACATACACCTACTGGCCACTTCATTAAAACCACATCTTTGTTTCAACACTCGTTGTCCATTTTGTCAGCTTCACTTACCATATAGGTGCACCTTGTAGTTCTACAGTAACAGACTGTAGTGTATCTGTTTCTCTGGATACTTTGTTACCCCCTTTAACCCTGTGCTTGGTTAGGAATGGATTTGAACAGTGCTATGTAAATATTATCATTGTTGTTGTTGTTGTTGTTGTTGTTATTATTATTATAGTTATGAGACTATTACATATTAGCTTAAAATATATGTTCAAACCACTGGCTAGACCGTTAATTAATCTTGCATGCTGGGGCACCTTCACCTTCTTGTTTAGAAACTAGTCTGAAGTTATTTCAGCTGCATGTTTGGGTACGTTGTCTTGTTGAAACATCCATCTTTCAGCATTACCTTCTCCAAACATGATGAACTGATTTATTGCCAAAGAGTTCTATTTTTGTTTTGTCTGACCAGAGGACATTGTTTCAAAAGACTGCTTATGTGCTTGTGTGCAAATTTTAGATGCACATCTCTGTTTCTGCTGCTTTCATGTTGTCTTGCAGCTAGTGACTGTTGGCTTCTCTCTTACATTCCTCACTATAGTCTGACAATCACAATCTGTGTTGTGAATCCTTGCTTTGCACGGTTTTCGGGGGATGATTAGTTGTGGTCCACTTGCATATCATCAAACCAGCTCTTTAGGAAGCTCTCTCACCAACACCTACTTGTTGTGTGAACTTTTTCCAGCATTAATATGTAGGAAAGTATTTACATGTATATATATTTTAACATAGTGTGTATATATGTAGTATATATATATATATATATATATATATATATATATATATATATATATATATATATATGTACACCACCAGTGCTGGAACTGTATTAAATTACTGTATTAAAATACGTGTTTCCCCATATATATATATATATATATATATATACATATATACACTCACTGGCCACTTCATTCATATTCAAGTACACTTACCGTTTTTCTACTCCTATTGTCCATTTAGTTAGGTTCGCTAATGATATAGCAGCACTTTGTAGCGCTACAATTACACAATGGTCAATGGTCAGGACCCCCAACAGGACCATCGCTGAGCAGGTTTTATTTGGGTTTTGAATCATCATTCAGTTTACCTACAACATTGACATTGCTATGGGACATCTTTAACTTGGGTACCTTAGAAAAGCCCCCTGCTGTGAAGCTGACCTGACCTGAACAATAGTTACCAAGGACTCACTGCATTGTGTTACCAAAGAAAAAAAAAGAAAAAAAAAAGAAAAATCAACATACAGTGCTTGGTTGTGGCTCAGGGGCCTTAGTAGCTGTTTGCTGCTTAGATCAAGAAGCTGACACAGTGGTTTTGCTGCTGTTGGCAACACATCGTGATGAAATTAAACATAAAATATAAACCAGGAGCCAGATCTGAGTGACTGAATGTAACTGAGTAAGCAGCAATTCCTTTTATTGCAAATGCACTTGAGTGTAAGTCAATGATATTATTGATGAAAAATACATAATGCTAGTAAAATACTCAAGAACGCCTGCTTCTGCTTGTCATATTGGCCAGAACTTCACATAAAACAGCACTGCTTTTCAAAATTTGGTCATTTCATACCCTTCTCTTAAGTTGCAACAGCAGATTAAGTGGAGCTAAAGAACAGCACATTACTATCAGCAAAATCTGTTTTCTGCCTGAATCATTCTAAACGAGACTGGCAGGTGAAAAAGACCAACCAAACTGGTTTGCAGGAATGCGAACAAGACTTAATGACAAGACTTACTGTATCTGTACTCAAAGCCATACATGCCAAACAACACTAGTGATGCTTTATCTGGACCAAACAGACAATAGCTACACACTGTACAGATTTCCTTATCTTTCTAAGCACGGTGGAGTCTGGAATTTGAAACCTTTGTGTAGCATTCCCCTGTTTCACAACTGGACTGTACATATGTATACATATTCAGGAATTCAGTATAGTTCTCTTTGTCACTGCATAAATATGTGCAGTAATTGGACAGAGATCATTTCTGTTATTGTGTTATCAGCTCACCAGCCTGAAACCATGGCTGCAAGAAAGAAGTGCAAAATGTTTGGGTTTGAGATTATTTACGTCTATATTGGGTGAACCATGTAGGAATCACAGTACTTTGTATTCATGTTTAGGGACCTGGAGTAACTAGAAAAAAGAAGTTAATCTTAAATTAAGCTTATACTTATAGTACATGGCTGCAAATCCTTCGCAGTCAATGACTGCTTTAAGTCTGTGACTCAGATACATCACCATAGCACTGCGTATCTTTGCTGTCAATGTTCGTCTAGTCCTGTTGTTCAGCCGTTTCTCAGTTTTTTCTTGTAATGCAAGCCTTTTTGTTAGGTTCTTTCTCTTCATTTCTGCCTTTAGTAAGGGAAATGCATGCTCAGTTGGTTCAGATTAGGTGTCTGACTTGGCCAGTCAAGAACATCCCACATTTTTCTCCTGAAAAACAATGGAGCTGCTTGAACAGTATGTTTCCACTTTTTATCCTGCTGCAAGATGAAGCAACTCCCCCCCTGAGTTTTGAGGCATTTAAGATGCAGTTAAGATGCTGTCCTTTTTTTCTCCACACCTTCCTCATACAGCTTACATGATCTTTCTGCTCTTGAGACATAAGTTTCTGATCTGTTCAACAATTATTCCTTTATGATTGACTGAAACATTCTTCAGTTATTCACCACTGAGGTCTTAAGTGGTCTGCCAGGTTGTGTGCTAATTATAAGCTCACTTACTTTATTTGTGTTTTTTTTTTCCACAATGTACTACTCAGTTTATTTTGACATGCTGCACAGTCGAGTGACATTATTATGACCACCAGCTAATATCCAGAGTAACAGCCGTGTGCAGCATGGACAGCAGCTAGACTGGCCGGGAGTGACTCAATAAGGTCCTGGTAGGTTCTCACAGGTATCTGGAGCCATTGCTAACTGCAGTGCATCCCACAGCTGCTGAAGAGAGTGCATGGGGGAGGATCCATAGAGCGAACACAACGATCAAGGTGGTCCCACAGATGCTCAATTGGGTTCAAATCTGGGGAATTAGGGGGCCAGGGTAGCACTTGTCATGCTCTTCCGCCTTAGTCATGCTCTTCCAGTGTCGGACGTTTCTAGCCGTGTGACATGTCGCATTGTCTTGCTGGAAGATCCCATCCGCCTCAGGAAAGACAATCAGCATGCACTGGTGTACGTGATCTGCAAGGATGGATTCATATGCAAATCAGTTGAGAGTGCCTTCCACGTGGATGAGTGGGCCCAGAGAATGCCATGGAAACATTCCCCAGACCATAATGCTGCCACCGCCAGCTTGTGGACTTGAAGTGGTCAAAATAATGTGACTCGACTGTGTATATCTAATTGATTTATTCTGATGGATTGTAATGCCTGCCATTGACACTTCTTTGGTCCTCATGTTGAAAGATGCCAGTAACAGACTCCAAATGCTTATGCAACATCCGGAATCAACTCTACTAATACTCTAATACATAAACTAATGACAGTGATAACTGCTCTAGAAACAATTGGGAAGCCAACTGTCCGATTACTTTTGCTCCCCTAAAATGGGTGATTTGTAACATGAAGAGAATTTGAGCCTACCCTCAGATTAAAGTTCACGTTCTGCACAACCTCACATTCTCTGTCCAGTGACAAATTCTATCACTGTTCATGTACTAAGCATTAAGTAGCATTTATGGCTTATAATGTACCAAAGGTTAAAGTCAACATGAATCAGAAATCATAATTTATTTTCCTTCCATACTGTGACACACTTCTAAAGGAAACGTTATCAGTGAGGGTCTCAGAGCTGGCTGAGCATTCCACTTGAGAGTGGTGGGAGGGGGAAGAGAAACATGGAATTATTATTGGTCAGTATTATTCTTTAGTGCCTGCTGGTACACAGTGATGTAATCAAACCTCAGAGGAAATTTTAGAGGTGGGCAAGAATCACTACAGTTTGACTGAAGAGTATCTTAATAAAGAATTGTGTCTTTTAAATTGCATTAATTAACAATATATGAATTAACAAGGTCGGTAAAAAAGTATTGTAAGAACGTGGTATTCTTGAAAAAATATATTCTTAATTAGTTTCTTACCCGTATGACAGCCTCACACTTGTCTTAGACTGGACAGGCTAAACTTCTTAAATGGTAACTTCTAATGAGTGTGACAGAATATAGCTGCTAAAATTCCACTAATCTGTAAAATTTAACATGATATTGATGTACAACCTAAGCTGTATGAGAACATTTTCTATAGCCTATGTGAAAATAAGTACATTTTTCTGAAGAAAATGACAGAGCCCTGCTGGTGACGTCCCGTATAAATAAAAATAATGTGACTTAGTAGGGCATAGGAACGAGATAATTTAGTCATGGCCACGACTTAGTAAGGCGTGGGAATGAGATCCTCATGCAATGAGATAATGGGATCATTAAGCCTTGACCACAGCTTAATAAGGCATGATCTCGTGGAAAAAAATTAGGATTTTGGAAAAAAATTAGGATTTTGTACCCACGCGTTAATATGGCATGGCCACGCATTATTTTTATTTATACGGGATGTCACCGGCAGGGCTTTGTAGAAAATAAGACGTTAAGAAAATATTTGAGAACTTGCGATTTTTTTTTTTCACAAGAATTGAAGATAAGAACGTTCTAATGAATTTCTTAGTGTTTGTCTTAAGATCCTTACTAAGGTTTTTTTTTCCTAGGAAAGCTTTTGGCCCTGATGTACAAGGATTTGTTTTAGTGCTGGTGTCAACATAAAACAATGTATATGCATAAAATAGACAACTTTGATGCTGTACAAGTAAAACAAACACACAAGACACCAAAAGACTGTTCATTAAAAATAGAAAAAGAAAAAAATTACTAGTTTTTGCACGTTTGTAACAAATGGGGTTAATTCACTCCCCCGTTTTTGCGTGTTGGCGCCGCGTTCCTGCCTGGGAAATGAAGTTCCTGTAAGCTTCCTTGGAGAAGCGCGGCTTTAGTTGTGGTTACGGACGTGTGACAACTACAAGACCCACAGTTCTCTGAGATAAAGCTACACGGTTTCAGCAGCGCGCTCAGCTTGACAGGGGTTGCCTGCCTGCAGCAAGTGTTAAACGAGCTGGACGATTAGGGAGAGGGGAGGCGAACCCAGCGATACGCGGTCCTGGAGAATTATGCGTGACTCTGTGGAGTAGCAGAATGGCTGTCGAAGGTAAGACTTGTGTCGGTGAGAATTTGAATTCTAACAGGCTAACGTGCAGGCGCGGGGCTACAGACCGCAACGACAACAAATCAAATGTAGGGGCAGTGGGGAACTGATGTTGTGGTGAGCAGAGTTCATGATTGGCTAGTGCTGCACATCTTTGCCCTTCTCGTACGCGCGTAGCATGCTGTATGAAATGGAGATGGTCTTAGCCGAGGCGGCACAGAGAGACACAAACCGATGCACATACTGTACGGATTCGCGATTTCAAATCATTCAGCTCATGCGCTGTTGTCATCCGCCCACTGACGCCCAGGAGCTGCAGGGCTGACTGCACAGAGGATCACTGAAAGACAAGACAATCTACAGATTGGAGGAAAGAAAATCACCAGTGTCGTTTGTTTTCTGTTTATCTGTCAGGAAGTTTATCTCCGTTTTATTGTGAGGAACGACTGTCAGTTACATTCAGAGCGAATCACAGGTCGAGCCGATCAAGATATTGAGAAAAGGTGGTAATAACGACAGAAAACAAACGCTCAGTTTAATCAGTTTAACCGTCTATCGCGCGTGGAGAACTGTGTCATGCACGCGGACGGCCAGAAGCGGTCGCGTGATTGAACGGTTAGTTCGGTCTGGTTCAGCTGAACAGGTGCTTTCTTTCTCCGCTCCGCTCTCACGATGCTCGGCCAGTCTCCTCATCTTATCGGGGGCATCCTGTGGATTCAAAACCCCATGCGAGGTACGTTTACTTTACTTCCAGTCAGGTTCGTTCTGCTTTCCTGTTGTCAGTCAGAGACGTTCCTGAGGAAACCTGAGCTGATTAGCTTCGGCCCTGAAGTTAGTTACGGTTAGGAAGCGCCTCGAGGAACGAGCCGGTGGTCTGCATAGTGAGGTGTCTCTGTAGCAATTTAAAGAAGTTTGACTGGACTTCTGCCATTGTATCCAGGTCTCGTTCAGCAGGTTGTTTAACTGGAATCTGATGAATCTGTTTTGTCAACTGGAATAACGAGAGTCTCTCCTTACACATTAGGCACTAGGCAGCTCACCAGGTTTGGGAAGATGCTGAACTTGAACGTGGCGTGTTAGTGCGTGGGCATGTTCTACAACAGGGGTTCTCAACCTTTTCCACCTCAAGGCTCACCTGTTTAAACTCGAAGGCCCACTGGAAAACAAATCTCAATTTCTTTGCTAAAAAATGTAATTTTTTGGAAAATTCTCAACGCAGTGATATTTGAGTGTCTACCCCTGCAATATATGACGTGTGTCAGTGTACAGAATATTGGTATGAGAGGACAACTGAAAGGTCAGGGAGGGTGTATTTTGGTTCTAGAAGCAAAAGGCAAAAATGGACAAAGCTGCCTTTGTATACTGTTATTGTAGGGCTTGTATTACTGTTGTGTTAAAGCTGTTATTGACGGTGAAGTCAGTTATTTTCCCACTCATTTTTAAGACAGAGTGCCATCATAGGCCAGCTATGAACCACCGGCCCCCCTCGGTATAGGACTGGGGTGTTTTGCGGCCAGAGGTTGGGGGATCCTGTTCTAAAATACTTACTGTAAAAAAAAAAAAAGCTCAATGTGACTTAATACAGCAGAATGAAGAAAAGCTCAAATCTTCTTTTACATGTCTTACTGGTCAACACTGTGTCCTGCTAAACAGAAAACTGTATTTCAAAGGCAAAGCGGTATTATTCCTATTAAGCTTTTTTCTCTCCACTGAAACCCATCAAAGTGGAATTCCACCAATATGAAATCTGCATAATTTGCTTGAGATGTAAGCAAGATGTAAGCACATTCAGAGTGATTTAATGGTGCAATGAAAAGAAACTCACCAGTCTGGATTTCTTTACAGTGGTGCTTATAGGAACCAGGGGTGATTATGTCTACAGTGCATGGTAGTGCATGGTAGTAAAATAGTGATAAATATGGAAAAAAGTTTGTTTTTTTTTGGGAACTGTTTTGTACCTCTCTGCAGTGAATGGATCTTAAAAATAAGTTTTAAAGCAAAACTTTAACATGAAACTATTGAGAAACAGTGTCTCAGGCACCAGGTAGCAGACTTCAAGCAATTTCATGTATTTTTGTGAAGTAGGTTTTTAAATCCAGGTTAAAAACATCTGTCTTTTTGTGTGCTTGCACTCTATTCTTGCTGTTTAATAAGCTAATTTTAATAACACTTAAGCCCTTTGTCTTTAATTTCCTTTCATGTTTTTATTTTGCTTTCATGTACTTTGTATGCCTGTTTAATAATCTTTTATTTTTTAAGCTACTTTATGAATAAATAATACTTTTTATATTTTTTATACTATTTACTCAATCACTTTGTCTTTTATTTTTTATTTTGATGTTCTTTTTGCTTTTGTTTATGTAAATCATATTGAATTGACCTCACTTGCCTTGCCTTGTCTTCTGTAGGTAATAAATACTTCAGACTTGTGCTTCCTATCACCACCAGCGTGAACAATATTGACTCAGTATATTTCCCTACAATGCACCATTTCACATCAAACCAGCCTTAATGACTTTATTTACATCTTAATAAATACAGTGCGTGCTTATTTTTGGAAAATCGGTGGAACTCCGACCTAGGAACACCAGACTTCTCTCACGTTTTATTGGTCAAAGGCACTGTCTGTTTCCAAAATGTGTATTAGAAACATAGTATGGCATTTTACATTAAGCCTTTTTCTGTAGAAGTTCAATGTTCACATTTATGACCAGTGAGATAAGAGAGAAATTTGGTATTCCTATTAGATTGGTAGAAAAGTCAAAACATGACTCCCAAGGTGTCAAAGACTAACTGCTAAATGAGTGTAGGTCACCCGTAAACTTATTTATGGCTTATATATTGAAAAAAAGGCATCATCGTCATTGTTTCATCATTTTGTTAAACATGGATCAGACAAGATAAGATCGCATGGCCCAGTTGCAGGACCTACATTTCAGTCTTGTAGCTTAAAATCCTGCCCTATATCCTGTGGGCCCAAGGTGCTTCAACAGGTCCGCTGAGAAATGTACACCCACAGAGGTTGGCTGCAGAAGTCTAATTACATCCGCCAAAGGTAGTCAGGTCGCCCAGTAAGTTTTCAGCCTCAGGGAATTTAGTAATGATTTCCTCTCTTTAAAATCACTTCATCCCTGGGGACATCTTTGCCTGCCTTTGCCCTGAGCGTTCTTGCGTAAGCACTCTGGTTCTTTACAGTACTTTTTTTTAACGGAAAGTAGGTGGAACAGCATGATTCTGCAACACAGCTGGCACCTATTCTGTGCATTTCCTGCTGCTACATGTTTCATCAGTTACAGGGAAGGGTTTTTACTGGCTGAAGGACTTCATGCTAACCAACATGGAACAGGACGGGGAATGAGTGATACATTAAAAGCCACAATACTGATCTAGAAAACACTAGAACATGCAGGGTGAGGTTACTGTAGAACCAGCATTGAGCACCACTTTTCCACAGCTCATCTTAACAATTCTAGTGGTACATATACAGATTCATAGCTTTTCCTTAGTGGTGTAAAGATGCAGCTCCTTGTGTCTCCACGCTTTTCTGTTAGTCTCTTACATCTACAATTCTTATTCTTACGAGACCTCATTAAGCAGTTTCTTTGCTATTTGAAGTTCTGCAAGTGTAGTTTTGTACATATGTTTTTTCACACATCTGTTCCTGCACTCTGGAGAATAGTTCTAAAACAGTGTTTCTTCATGATATGGAATGGTTTGTTGCTGTGTCTCTGGGCAGTCTTTCTTTTTTTCTGTCAGATAATCTACATGGTATTAGTACTTTATGTCATATCAGGGTAGAAAATGTGGAAATTTACACACTAGAAAAAGTGTAAAGTTGGGCCATTAAGCCACCAAGATTGCACACTTTAGCATTTTACAGGCTTCAAATACTCATTGGTGTTTCTAACTGAGTACTTGAATACTCATTCTCAATACAACCCCTAAAAACAATATTTCCATTTCAAAATAAACTATAATCGTTAAGTAAGTATGTTTACTTAAGTATGTGAGTTTGTTTTTTAATCACATTTGTGCGAATAGTTCTACATTTATGTATCCCTTTTTAAGATGGACATCCCAAAATGCCATTAGACAGATGTGCTGTAACCTTGTGTCAGATAAGAAGATGAGTCTAACTGGATTTTTGCTAGATAGCAATGATGATACAGCAGTAAGTTCATGGCCTACTTTATTGACTGCAATGTGTACTTAAGTCTCCAGTACATTTCATTCCTGTGCTTGCACTGTGACTACCAATGAATTTGTGAACAAACCTGTAGTATTTGCAAAATGTGCTCTTTAAATATGTTTCACATTATAGACTACTTTTGGGTAACACTTTTTTTTTAGTTGAAGACAGTTGAAAATTGTTTACTAAAAAGAAAATGACAAAACCATGTTACTCACTGTCTGAATACTTTTGAAGCTCACGCTTCATCTCCTGTGTTACAGCTGCTTTAAGTGAGGAACTTGGTCAAGAGCTCTCTGCCTATTGGCTATACTAATAGCTTTTCCTCCACACAGTTTTAATTCATGGGTTTGCATGTGATCACTAACTGTTAAAACAGTAATATAAGAATTACTTCCAGTCATCACAAGTGTCTTTCTTTGTGCAAAAGTCAGGGTGCACCCTTTCATTTGTTTAATTTCCTATCAAAATGGCCATTAAGGTACTAGTTTTCAGTATTAGCAAAAGAAGAAAGCATGTGTTTAACAGAGAATAACACAGAAGCCTGAAAACTACATATGATCAACTCTCAGTATTTGTGTCCACTCTGTAGTACAGCTTTCATTTTCGTCACTTTCTGTTTCTGCAGGGATATTTTTCCACACCTCCAAAGTTCAGTCTTAGAAGTTGGTTGCTTTCTTTGCTTCTTATGTTCCAAATAGAGCTGGGTGATATGGCCAAAAACGTTATCATGATAAACAAAATTCATATCGTTCGATATCAATACATATCGCGATAAATGTCAAATCATGATTTCTTTCACGTTTGAAGGCTGATTTTGCTCCTGGGTGGTTAATTGTGGTTTTAAACTATCACTTATGGTCCGATCATGACACACACTCGGCAAACAGTGGAACATTTCACTAATCTGTCATGGAAGAGTGGGAGAAAGTGTCTGAGCTGTTTTTATCAGCTTGAAAAGCTGCAGTTTTTGTAATAGTCATGATTTAAGAAAGAAAACAGATTATTTTTAGCTGTCTGGTGACGAGCACTCAGCTACCCCCTTACAAATGCTAAACAAGTGGCCAACAACAGTGCTAAACTCTTTAGTTTCTCAACAACGTCAACTCGGTTCGGTAGGTCACTGCTGTCACTCCTACCACATCCATGTCAGAGCATATCACAGTATTCAGACAGCAGCTAGCGACGACTGGACTTCTCTATGCTATCGTAGTAGTTTAAGGGGTGAACCGCAGTATATCTGACGTTCGCTGTGTAAAGCAGTGTGAATCTCTCGCACCAGTCACAGAGTCCTCCTTTTAGGTATGTTTAAACTGAAAGCGGTGATTTTGTGTCATGTTTGATCTACCGCATCATCAATTCACCGTGTTGTGCCGGAGCGCTGCTTCAAGTTAGCCAGCAGCTAAAAACAGCTAGCCTGGAAAGATAGCACTCTCCCGCTCTCCAATGCCTCACAGCTTCCTCAGTTTACTTTCGAACATGAACCCACTTCTTTCTTTCACTTGTGTTGCTCGAGAATGCAGTAATACTACAATATGACGGTT